CCCTAGGGTGGTCCTTTTGTAGGCCTCCACTGGGGAGCTGAAGATTGCACTGAATTTGCATAAAATGTAGAAACACACGTGCACATCACCCTTCCTTTCCCCAGAGTGGCCAAGGAAGCATCAGCACTGTGCCTTCCTCAGTTTCTACAATTTTTACCCATGAATAAAAGTCCAAATCAGCAAAACAGATTAATTTAAAACCTCTTCTAAATTTGAAGAATCTGAGCATATTATATTTAAACTGTTTTTCTCATGCAATTCTCCCTTTCTAGCTCAGTGCTCATCAAGTTTAATGTGCCTGCAGAGCACCTGAGGGTCTCCTTAAAATGCAGATTTGGATTCAGTGGGTCTGGGGTTGGGCTGAGATTCTGCATTTCTAACAAGCTCTCCAGCCTTGCTGCTGCTGTTGGAGGGGATGAGATGGGGGAGTGGTTCACAATGTGACTAACAAGGATAAAGTCCTTCTTGATCCCGCAAGTGATTTTACTTTCCTCCTACCACAGCAATGATTCCAAACTTCTAATGTAGATCTTGAAAAATGAATAAAAGTTTCCAATTGAAGGGAGAGAAGAGGGAGTGAAGAGGAAGAGTAGAAGAAGAAGGGAAAAGTGGGAGGAAAGGGAGGAGGGGAGGGAGGGAGAGAGAGAGAATGTGTGTGAGTGAGTGTATGTGCAGGATCAGGTGTCTCTTCTTAGAAGGACACCAGTCCTATCAGATTGGGGCCCTACCGTTATGACCTCATTTGATCTTAATTATCTCCTTAAAGGTTTTATCTCCAAATACAGTGACACTGGGGGTTACAGCTTTAATATTGGGTACACAATTTCATCCATAACACTAAGTGACCTTAGATGAACTCCTTTTCTCTAAGACTTGGTTCCTTCATCTCAATCACTTAGAGAAAAGAAAGAATTTGATCATTGAATGACAAGAAATAAGATAACTGTATTTAGTGTTCCACATATTGTCTGTCATAGAATAAGTGTCTTGGTTGTGTTCCTCCAGACACAGTCAAGCATTGGAGGGTAAGTAGATTATTTGTGAGGTAAAGGAAACAGCAGGAGAGAAACAGAGAATTGAGAGGGCAAAGATAAAACAACCAATAAAATAAAGAGTGCATTAGTTAACAAATCACCACTGGGAGAAACTGGAGCTTCATTTCACTGGGAAAAGTCAGGCACCCATGTTGAACAAACACCCAGAGTCAGCCCTCACTACTGAGGCAAAGGAGTCAATATTTATGTACCAAAGGCCATCAGTCATTGGTTGAGATCTGCTCCCAAGGGATGCCTACCTCCCCACTTCCATCTTTCTGTGCTTGTGAATGGCAACCGAGCATACTAGAGGAAACCTTTGGGCAAAGAGATGCCTGACTTGGCTGTTGGAAGCCCTACCAGCTCTTCAAGAGGGAGACCTGAGTAGTTCTGGGAAGGTTTTTCTTGTATGTTACAGTGAGACACCAGGAAACCTTAGTTCTTTGTACTGGTTGGTTCTAGTTATTGTGCTGGTAGTTTGCAAAACACTAGAGACACACTTGTACCAAAGAATTCTAGGGCCAAACAAGTGTAATGAATGCTTGTTTCATGGGATTCACAACTAACGCTCTGTTGATGTCCTGAAGTTGAAATGTTAAACTTTGTATAATCCTATAATTTCCAAACTTATTTACACAAACACTTTTTCATGTAATATGTATTTACCTTTTAAGGAATAAAAGTTCTATAATGCATGTTTTGGGGCTATCGAATTAAGGCTAGAAGAGATTTCACTATATTGTAAGATGTTTTTAACCTGTTTCTATTCACCATTGTAGCCTATGGACAGTAACTGGTTCATAGAAAGTATTCAATAAATATTTGTTATTGCAACTGTTTTAAAGAATATCAAAAAATAATTCTGAAGATATTTTCAATAAAAGCAGCCTCATGAAAAATGACTAGTTCCCAAAATGATTGTTTTGAAAGACTTTGGAATAAAGTTCAGCTGAATAGACACTTGTTGAAATACTGACCAGCTTTTTATTCTCGTGGCTTTGTTCCCATTCACTTAATGAAACAGTGCATTTTTGTAAAATTGAAGACCCATGCTGTTAGAGGCCATTGTCCACTTTACTAGAGAAGAAGCATCTCTCCCCAGATCTATGTGTGGATGTAGATAAGAGACCTAATGGTACTAAGGTCTCTCTGGTCCAACCTTGCTAAACAGAGTGTTTCAACTTCTATTTCCTGCCTCTACACGTCATCCTTTTATTGAATACTAAGGTTTGCAGCTGTGACCCCATCATAGGATGTAAATAATCAAATTAAGGAACTTCTGACAAATGCGCCCCTTTTAACCTTGATGTCAGGCAGACCTTGCTATTTGTTGGCCTCAAATGTCAGCTGAAGCCAGGGTCAAAGTCCTTGTGACTCTGACTTTCTCATCCTCTGTCAAGACCTAAAGCATTTTTGAGCTGGGTGCAATTGTTACAGCTGCAACAGAGTATACATGATAAGTGGGATTGGCAAGAAAAAGGCTTTTCTCTACAGATCACTGCTTGAGCTGGGCTTCCCTGCTATTTTTGCCCAACTGTCCTGAGAATGGCAACATCAGTGGCAACTCATTGTTTGTCCATCATTATTACAATGAAAAATTTTAAAACCCTGATTATTACTGATTCTTTGGTGCTGAGATGGAAATCTGCAGGCTGTAAAACAAGTTCGTTGTTTTTTTTTATTCTTGGTTAGCCACTTGTATACCCAAATGCCCATTTCCTAAGATGGGATTTTTCCTGGGAAATTGCTTATCTTCCTAGCATCTGCAAAACATACAAGCTGGTATATAGTAGCATTTTCTTCATTCCCTGCAAATGGAAACATTGGTATTTCTAGATAAGAGCAAGGAGAAAGAACTATGGCTATCCAGGTTCTCTTTAGCTAAGTCTCCTCTACTCTTCCTTGAATAAAGATACTGTGAATCTTGTAGGACACTGTCTGTAAAAAATGGCCTGCCACACCTGCTAATGCAATGTGTGGGTTAGTATAGTGCCGAGAGGGTTGTTGGGGTCTCCTGGCGTCAAGAGAGTAGGTGACCAATGTGGATGAAACACAATGACAGTGGACAGTAGTATTTCTGAGACCAGATTTGTTTGGGAAATGGGATATGTTGCCTTTCCTTAGTCAGGTATTGACCTGGCTACTGGTTAAAGATGACCATTGTTTTGTTATTTACTCATGTGTGTTCTCCACTTCACTTGCTGGGGGGAAAAAAAACCCTGCAGAGTAACTGTAAGCTCCATGAGATTAGACATTGCATCTGATTTTACTTACCACTCTATTCTTAGTGCCTACCACCAAGTCTAGCATACAGTGGGGGCCAAATATTTGTGGAATGAATAGGGCATCTGCAACATAATATGTACTCCATAAGTGGGAGCTTCCATTGCTACATTGCTGTCATCATTGTCATCACCATCACAATCATGATCACCATCATCATCATCATCATCATCACCAGGTGATTTTTTACAGAAATATTTTCTCTTCAGATTATAGCAGACTGAACATCAGGATCTTTAAATCTGCTTGTCCTAGGGAAGTTCTCTGGACTTCTTGCATTTGGCACAAGCAAAGACTTGGTATTTTCATTGCTGTAACACAGAGACAAAAATATATGAAGATTTCAAAGAATAAGTTTATCAACTGGCCTCTCATGGTGATCTCCTTTCCTGTCTTTCTGTGAATAATATATGGACAGCATTGTTGCTCTCTGCTAATAAAAAATTACTCAAAAACTTGAGAGCTTAAAAAAACCAAACATTTATTATCTCAGTTTCTGTAAAATGGGAATCAGGGTACAGCTTTTCTGCATCCTCTGGTTTAGGGCCTCTCATGAAGTTGCAATCCAGATGCAGTTATCTCAAGGCTCAACTTAGAGGAAAATCTTCTTCCAGACTTATGCTCCTGGCTGTTAGCCAGAGACTTCCGTTTCTTGCCACATGGGTCTGTCTATAGGACTACTCACAGTCTGTCAGCTAGCTTCCTTCAGAGCAAAGGCTCTGAAAGACAGAAAGAATGAGAGATAGTGGTAAGATAGAAGATAACATCTAACTTAAGATAGTGATAAAAGAGAAGAAGTCACAGTCTTTTTGTAACCTAATCTCAGAAGTGATATCCCATCGCTTTTGTATTATTCTATTTTCTAGAGGCAAATCACTGGGTCTATCCCACATTTGAGGGGAGAATATTACACAATAGCATGAATACTAGGAAGCTAGGACCATTGTAGACCATGTTAAATAGAAGCTTCCAGCCATAAAGGATGATGTTCCCCTAAGCATGAGTGTGGCTTTATCTTGGTTCTTTTAACCCTTTTCTTTTTTGAGACTCATGGGTTGCCAACCAATCATGGCCTCAATCCCTTGTCAAACTTCTTTTTCAAAAAAGGGAGAAAGAAGAAAAACAGAATGGGGCATGTTCTCCTAGGAATAGCTTTCAATATGATGATGATTTTAATTGTCATTGCACAGGTGCATTGGCATTGAATCATGAGGAGAACCCCAATTGCTCCTATTGGCTTGTCTGGCCATCAGTTTTCTAATGACTTACTTTATGGCTTCCTAATGAATATATTAAAAATAGAAGTCTGGAGGTTATATTTAGCTCTTTAGTTCCTTTCCCTCCCTATATCCCATACCCCACTTTGTCTGGAGGCTTAATACTAAGTTTGAGATCATTTTGAAACTATCTGCTTTGTCTTAACATACATATACAAACTTATCTAATTTTGATATAAATCCTTCATCAACAATTAAGTCACCTCCCAATTGACTACATGTTCACTCACTCTCTTATATCACACAACATAAGAAAAAGGGAATAACCTGTATTAGAAGAAGCTCATTGACAAACTTTGAAATATAAATTGACACAAATGTGAATGCAGAGTTTTGTTAAAAAAAAAAAAAAAAAGATCTGCAGTTAAATGACTGGTATCTCTACCTTTTGATTCCTTTTTGGCAGATTGTTTCCCAGAGAAAGCTGTCCAAATCTTTGCTGAAGCATGGGAACACAGCAGGAAAATCCTCCATCACGGTAAGCAAGCCCTCCCTGAGCAGCCACCTGCCTGAGTGGAGAGCCTGGCCAGCCCAACCAGGCAATTGGGAAGCTGATTTTCTGATATTGGGAGTTGGTCTCATAACTACTGAACTACTGAAATCACTCCTTTATTTTTCTTTCTTTCTCTTTCCTGACAATACAATTTTGATCCTTCTACCTCTAGGAAAAATGGTAAAGAAAAAGTATTTGGATCTAAGGTTATTTAATTCTAGTAAGTACTTCTGCAATTGCAAGATAGATTTTAGTGGAGGAGAAAGATGTAGTTGCCAAGCACAGTAAGAATATGAAATTGTCTAACATTTTCAGATCGTCAGAAATACCTGTCCTTGTCTCTCATTTATTTTGAGAATAAAAATTTTGCTTTGATAGCATTTAGTTTAAGGTTTGGTTTATTGCCTAACAAACAAAGAGCTCAACATTTAAGTCCTCTTTGATATAATAGTTTGGAGGTTTACTGTGTAATTCAGTAGCCACTAGCCACATGTGATTAATTATATTTTAATAAAATAAAATTTTAATTTTATTTAAAATTAAATATTCAGTTTCTTAATCACACTGGTCACATATCAAGTACTCAATAGTTACAAGTGTTTAGCAGCTACTATATGGGATAGTGCAGATTATAAAACATTTCGATAATTCCAGAATGTTCTACTGGGTAATGCTAGAAGTATTTCTAAATAAGAGCTTAAATTTTCAAATAGAACTCCTGGTATTTGGAACTTTGACATCTTCTATTAGAGATGTCTTAGACACTCACTACCTCTTGAGAAAGGTAGAGAATGTGGTCCAATCATTTGGATATATAAAATACAAGCAAAAAAAAAAAAA